TTTGAATAATACGCATGTACACAATAGTCGTATTGTCATAATTCTACTCTCTACTCCCACATAGCGATTCAACATGTCATAATAATTAGGTACTATCTTTCATTTAGATTTTGGAGCAGTGGTTTCCAGCCTTTTTTATTTTGCGGACCGGTAAAATTTCAAAACTAATTTTGCGGACCGGTGGACTTTTAAAATTAACCCAAAATGTCAAAAACACAAAATATAATTAAACAAATTGAATTACGACAAAAGTATGTGGTTCAAGTGCAGAAAGGCAATTTAATGAGGAACTTGATGCCGCTTTGTGATTCATACGTGCTAAATTCGGTTCTGATGAAGTTTCTGCAACGCAAAGTAAAGTGTTGACTTTCACACAATATCTCTGTTTGTTCTATGAAATTTCGCTAAATTATACTGTCAAACTACGGAACGTGCGAGCTTCTCAATCAGTGTAAAATTTAACAAGGCAGCAAGTGCTATCGAACTCCGTTGTGATGTTTGCCGTTGAGGACCCCCGAACAAGTTTTGTTTACGCATCAATAAGAGTTGAACTTTCAAAATATATATATGAAAAGACCACTGATGCATTTTGCAATTGAGATATAATATTGAAATTTATATGGCGGACCGACAGGAACTTGACACGGACAGGCGGTTGAGAACCACTGCTTTAGAGAGTCTGTTATCTAAATTCATCTGTCTCGCCCTTTCTTTCTCTTTAGTTTTGTTTGACGTTTTGGTTTTATTCACGTCCTCGTACTTTTACTACTTAGTTCTCAGAACAATGATAACCATTTTTCATTTAGAATGTTTAACACTTAAACACATTAAATGAAGAACGAGATAGTGATCAGAGACCGCCGACTTATCGATCTAGCGGCGTGTATCCTTCGCCGACTCAATAGCGACACCGCGTGTCACATCACTGATTAATCAATAACTCGCTAATTATACGACATAAATCATCCAAAATCAATAAGCTTCTGGTCCGAGATACGAGAAATGCACATGCAAATATGGAGCAGACTGCACTTGATTTGCCGTGCACGTCCCCGTGTAGCTCTCCTAAAACTCAACCCAGCTGATAATTAATAAATCAACACACACTTGATGGAACGTTATAATAAAAGAAAAAGTAGCACACAGCAGAATATAAATTATTTTCGGTTAAAATGTTTCAGCCATGAAGGATCTCCAAAATATTCAGGTTCTGTAAAATAGGAACCAAACAATAGTTATGAAAAAACACGAAGCCACATTGGTATTGTGGAAAGGCACCACATTACAGAGAAAAAATCTTATATACTCATATTTGTTGACTATTTAATAAGGATATACCAAAAATATAGCAGGATTCTTCCTCTCTTCTAATCTAAGTGAATACCTTGTCAGGAGTGAAGTTATGAAACAGGCCATTTAACATCATGAAGGTATTTTAAAATTACTAACAAGACAGGATAATACCTTTTATCGGAAACTTATGCTTGTTTCTTTCCATGTAATCCATAGAATATTTGACTTTTCCCATTCTATGCCTCAACATTATTTTCTGTGAAAAATATCCAAGCCATATTCCAAAACTGGCCAAAATAAAGCATTGGGGTATAACACCTGTAGCAATAAAAATAAATTGTGAAAATCAAAGGATCAAAATTTACTCAAAATAGTACAAAAATATCCAAAGATTGTGTTAGAATATTGGTTGTATTTAATGTTCTAAGTGAAATAACTAAGTAATAGCGCGCAAGAGTATCTCAAACATCAAGGATGGCGAAAAATTAAATTGATTATTCCTAATATGAAATATCAAACTAATTCAGCTATTATAGTAACATAACCAGCCTTCATGGCACTAACCTTTGCAGCCCAAACCGAGGCGACGTTAAAAATAAATATGAATATAATATGGATATGAAAATTAATTTGCATTTGGGCCACCAGTTTCCCCATACAGCACATTTTCTTACTTTTTCAAATTTATAAAATTTAAGAAATATACTAGCATACCATTCCAGATCTGAAAATTTCAAACTCATTAAACTATACTTAAAAAGGTAAGCTTTTACATAAATTCTGCAAAAATTATTAGCTTCCATAAGTTGGTCTGCAATTCTCCAATATTCAGAAACAATTGTGATCATTGGCAGCAATTGAGGATACATTAATAGAAAATAACTCAGCTATTAAAAACACACCCAATGTTGGTGCAATAAAATAAAATGTGCCATTCAATCATTATGCATTTTGTTGAATCATTATGTTCAAGACAGGATGTCGAATTCTATCATTTGGGAAAATTTGGTGTTATACATTCCAAACTATCAAATAGATATATTGACACGAGTTTAGGAAGATTCACTCAATTAACAGTAACTAAAGGTTAAAGGTAACTTAGCGTGTAACAATTTACCCTAAAAGCTGATACAATAAAATTTACTTCAATAAAAATGACCCACACATCAGGGCCTGTAATAGATTTAGAATAATGCAATGACAATATCGGATTATAAATAGCTTCTAAAATAATCCGAGTTACTCGATTAGATAGGAGAGCATTTACACATTTATTCCGGGGGAGGGGAAAGCCAATAAGTCTGATTAACCATATGGCGAACCCTGGCCTCTCGTCTGGTTACCATTCCATGTCAGGTGTGGGATTAGTTATTTGTTTTCGGAATCATGGACTTGATGGTGGAGGACGCCGTAACCGACCAGCGATTATGTGAACCACCCTACGGCGGTGAGAAGTTTAGCAATCCTCTCGCACATAACCATCACCGCATGGGATTCGAACCTGCGAACCCACGCAGAGTGATCAAGAGGTGCGGTGGGGAGCGTATTTCTTCCGCTTAGCATGATGAGCCACAACGCATAGTGCAGAGATTTCTCATATGAGAAATCAGCAGTGAACTTAGTCTGTCATGATGACTTCCAAATTTCTGAATGAATATATTTGACTTGCTTCAAAAGAAATTTTGAATATAATAAGTATTCATACAAGAATCTTACCAGAAAGCAAATGCCTGGATGAAAAGTAGTTGGAGAGTATTGGTGCTGATGCAAAAGTGGTTCCTAATAAAACTGTAGGCGTATTGATTAGTGGGATAGGATGGAAGGTTTTTCTAAAATCTTCTTCCCTTACTAATATCCCAGGGACTCGATCTTTAATGAAGTCTGGTACTTTCATTGTGCAAAACAAAATGTGGCGACTGAGTGATTTAATGTAACATTTAGTACAGTATAATATTATTTGCTCGGAGCTCCTGAAAAAAGAAAAAAGACATTTCAAACTGAACATACAGTGAGATATGGAAATATCTGGAGTACTGGAAGAAAGAAATTTCTACAATTTTCCTCGGATTAATTTTTAATATCAAATCCGAATTAGTATAGTCTAATATAAGTTTATTTTAACTCCATAATCAATAAAAAAAACAATAAAATGATTGATAAAAATAAATAAATAAAAACTGATTATGAAATCAGAAGAGCAAACAAAACCTTAGATAAGGTTTAAAACGTACAGAATATAAGATGGAAGAACTTGCCAAAAAAGTGGTAGGTAGTCCCGTACGTGCTCATGAACCTAAAATTATTAAATTAAATCACACACGCTAACATGCACCCACCAGCCACCACACATACACACAACTACAGACAGACAGAGAAATTAACTAAATAAAACACGATAACTTTATGGTAAATTACATGGTAAACAAGAATAATAAAGAAGGGGGAAAAAACTATTTGCCACACCGTATCAATAATTTAGTAATCTGGTAATAGTCGCCACTCGCCACTGCCAAATTGGTCGATATTTCAATCGGGAGTGAACAGTAAAAGTAAGGGGGCTCGTGTAGTTTCGTACCTAACGTACTTCTAATGGGCCTAGCATAACAATTTTTTGATATGTCAATCCTAACCCGTATCTGACTACGCCATCCAAAAATTACGCCACTACGACATCACAATCACGTCATACAGCTTGCCAAATATACGTACGATCGCCCGAAATGACATCGGAACCGACGATAAAGAACTGACCTCGTCATCGATCTCCCTCCTATTGGGATCGTTGCGACGAGAAAACGAGAGAAATAACTGTTCGATTTCGGGTGCTCGTCTGAGCGTCTCGAATGTCAGTTCGTATAGTTTGAAAGGCTAGAGCCTGTGACGTCGCAGTGACATAATTTTTTGATGGTGTAGTCAGGTGGGGGTTAGGATTGACCCGTGAAAAATTTGTTATGCTACACCCACTAGAAGTATGTTAGGTACGAAACTACATGAGACCCAAAGTATGGTTTAATTTATTTTGCAGCAATATCATTAACCATGCCTGACAAATTTAACATTATCGAGAATTTCCCTTAAAAAATCATATAGAGAGAGAGAGTGATATTTTATTGCCCCAAAAACAAAATCAACACTAATATAAACAATAATAGATAATAATACAATAAAGAAAATATTTCATCAGTAATAAACAGCGATTGATTATTGTTTTGTGCGGGTCGGTGTGCAGGCCCGATTAAGGTCATCTAGGCTCCCGACCCTTGTGTAAAAGCTGTATATAAGCTTATCATAGCATAATATAGTACTATGGGTAAATGCAAATGGGATTAAATAAAATATATATGAGATAAAGAAATGAGTGAATGTCGAATGAGTCGGCAATTTAAAGTTATCAAAGGGCAATTTAGGATTTTGAGAGGTCATGTACCGATGTACCGGTAACCGATCATGTCCAATGGAAGAATTAAAACAGTCAAAGATTTAAAAAAAGCTTCTTTTTTTTATTGGACACAGACCGAGATCAAAAATTGAAAGATAGGGACAAGAAAATAATATCATCACAGATTCAGTAATGAAGTGCATGACGTAAAAGTATCATTTGACTCCTTTTGGCACCTTAATTAGTTCACATGAAGAAGCAGGGGAAAAATAATAACAATCGATGAATATTGTTTAATTGCTACCGTACCAGCATTCATAAGTATTTATACTTACTTGAACGTTATATAACGTTACCGGTACATCTTCGGTGAAAAATTAGTTTAATATTTGAATTTCACTAAATTCCCTTGATCTGATCTGAGCCTAAAATCTCAGCGCACACAGTCAGCATTGTTACCGGTACCGGTAGCCTACTTTATACAATTAGGTAGTTTTCAGCTTGACCGTACAACTCGACTCTTTTTTTTTTTTTTCAAGGTCCACGTTGTGGATTCATAACAGTTTTGTAAAAATAAATAAATAAAAATAAATAAACAACTCGACTCTTACAGTATCATACGGTACCTAGTCTACAACTTATAACGTAACGGTAATGCAGTAATGCGACATATCAACACAGCAGCAACAGCCACCGAGAATTCCCGGCTTGCTGTAGACTACCGCATCAAGCTCTCTGCAAAGTGACTATAGTTGTAACGACATGTCAACCTCCTGACTTTTCCTTTCATAGGGACCGGTTTAGTAGCCTAACTAGTGTTGTCAGAGCATAACTGCCAAATCAGAGTGCGAATAAATATATAGATGAGGGAATAGAATATCTAACCTTTTCTACTAATTAGAATTTCATGATATTATAACATTTCATTCAAAAATATTTTCTTTTCAAAAGAAAAGTGTTCGACATATCATCATGATAAAAAATATAAAAATAGTAACAATACTGAATTAACATATCTGGCAAGGCCAACTAGAATGCCACAACATTGCAAGAAGTTTCGGTAAACGGTTCATGGACTGCCAAAGTAATTCGAATCATATATATAATTCGAATAATATGACTTATTATAGAGTGTAAACTTGACTATATTAGCACATCCAAATTTTTGTAATGTATCGTTGTCGTAAATAAGACGCCTGTCTTTAGATGGAAGAACCACCAAAGATAGTGCGGAAGGCACCGCCTGTTTTGCCGCACGTTGCAAGAGCATTGCAATATGGCGGACCTCCTGCTTCAGTCGGTGAGTGTGTGTTTTCATATAACCCGAATGATGTAGCCTACGTTTAAATCAATTCGTCTAAAGATGTCGAGAAATCCGAACGGGAATCTTATTATTAACTTCACCAGCGTATGTCGGGTATAGCCTAGGATTAGTTAGCCAGTTATTTGTTTTCACGTGCATAGACTCGATGGTGGAGGAAGCCCTAACCGACCAGCGGTTACGTGACCCACTCTATGACGACGAGGAGTTCAGCAATCTTCTCGCACATAATTTTCCTCGGTATTCGAACTCACGCAGGGAAATCATAGGTGCGGCCATGCGCTACAGGAGTGGTGACTCCTCTACGGCCCATGGGCCGGGGCCACGGCCCATCTAATTGGGCCACATGGGCCGTTTAAATTTTTACCAAATTGTCAATATTCGAACCAAAAAAATATACTCCTGTAGTATGTGTACCAGGTTAGGGTTAGGACAAAAAAAATTCAGATTTTTTACATTATAGTTCTATTATGAGTTCGGGGACTGTCTGTGTTAGCCAAGTGAATAGTTTCTTTACACAACTTGATGGGCCGCGGCCCTATTTCATTACTAATCATTATAAATTGTCAAAAAACAGTCAAGGTGGCGCATTTTTAGACTTTGCCATGGGCGCCATTTCAAGTAGATACGCCACTGATTGTCCCTTGCCTGAATACGTTTCGAGATTTCTCGCGACTCCTGAGTTAGCTGTAAATTTCTGATATATATATATATATACAATTTTATCTTATCATTCGTTTATGTTGCGTTAGAAAATAAATTATTGATCGATTGATTTTAGCCAACATACTTTCAGGTCCATCCGGTCAAGTTGAAAACTCTCAGCGTTTGCTGCCAAACTTGAGTGTATTTGCTGGAGAAGTTGTATCACAGAATAGATTTCAAAAGGAAGCACTGGAGGGGTATGAAATATCTTAGCACTTTTTAAACTCCCTTTTGCTTCGCTTGTTTGTGTTTGTTGTGGGTTAAGTTTGGCTTAGCGTAGTCTCGTTTTAGGAATGACAGTCCCACTCTTCAACGTCTTGTCCCGGCGTCCCGACCGGTCCGCCAAAAGTCCAGCTTTGGCGTTCATCCAGTCGGCATAATACACGAATATTACCAATTAGCATGATCTCGATACCGTCGTTGCTGTGTAGCGCACCGGTAGCCTACTTACTGAAGATGGATGCGTCGTTTTGATTTCGTTGTTTGATACAATTTTACATATTTATCCCCAGGGAGAGGAAAGTGATAAGACGGCTCAATCATATGGCGAACCACAGCGTCTCGTCCGGTTACCAGTTCATGTCGGGTATGGGATTAGTTTGCTAGTTATTTGTTTTCGGAAGCATGGACTTGATGATCGAGGAAGCTGTATGTACGGAAGACAGCTAACACCATATCGAGTATTCACCGTTGCCAGTTTACTACATACAAAGGCGAAGTTGACATCTATTCTACATTTATTATAAATTCATATCACTAGATTACAGCAAATCCTGAAACAACTTCACTCAGATGTTGAGACTCAAAAGAAAATGTACCAATCATTGTCAACGGAGAGATTGCTATGGGAACAAAAAATTGTTCTCTGCAAGGTGAGTACCCTAATGAAAAACTGTATAAATTTACCTTCGTGATTTCCTACTATACCATCAACAGAAAAATATATCCGACAATACAATACTGTTACATAGGTCCAAATGCCAGTCATCTTTGACTTGCTTTGTTGCGCACCTCTTGGAAATACTACAGACTTTACCGGCGTTAGATCGTGAAATATGTCCGATTTCTTTTTATTTCCTCCAATTTGTTTGGGATTGTTCGAAGTTACATTTTTTGTACTTTAGCCTTTTTCAATTAACCATCATGATGGCAATATAATTCTATAAAATAAAATTTCTACCTACGTGTATATATATAATACTGCAGGGTCATTTATTATTGTTGGTGTTATCAATTATGTTTTTATGAACTGTTTCTATTGAAAAAAATCGACAAATTGAACACTTTTTAAAGGCGAAATTTATTCTTGATAGACTCCAACTTCTGTGAGTGTGGGGAATGAGTAGTCATTTGGCTACAATGGTTCTTGTTTTCAATTCTATTATGATTCTTATGCAGGAAACGGCGATTCATAGCAGGAGCGAAATTAGTGAGGTTAAGTCAGAGCTTCTTGATTTGATGAAAATAAAACAAAAGATATTGGACCAGATTCAAACAACTGAAATAGATATAAGTAAATGTGAAAATCAAATTAAAAATCAAGTTTGCAAGATGGAAAAACACATTCAAAAGATAGTGAAGGTCAAACAATCATATTACATTTTAGATTTTCACTCTTGGCGAATGTCATATTTTATGATCGTTTTGATCTTTATGAACCCTCATATATTACAATCCCGGTCTTGATGTTTTACAATGTTAGCTTATCTCATGTTTTTAGATTCAGTACGGTAAATTGGTCGCATGATATATATCATATCATTATATCATACGTTGACATTTGGATTAGATCCTCATTTGTTATGTTACCTATTCTTTCGTGCTGTCAATTACAAGTCCCAGTATCTGAAACAAACAAATGGTTAATATCCGACATGGGCTGACAACCAATCGGTCTACTCAGTTTTCCTCTTTCGGGAAATTTGAATATCGTATGTGTATATACAGTTCCAAGCTTGTAATTAGAATCCGTCAAAATTTAGATAGAAGAAAAAGGCGAGGTCTTCAGGAAAATTTCCGAGGCAAGGGAAAAACTTTCTCGAGTGCAAGACAACATAAATCAATATGTCACATCAAAGAATATGGTATGGAATTTGAATGTAGAAGTTATCATTCATGAGATAATATCAGTAAGGAAGTATATCAGGATTTTTATTACAAAATCACTCAATAAAGACATACCCACAGCATACGATACTCGAAACAAGACGTGGAACCTCAGCTTCATTTTCTAGTAGCGTCGACAATATATTACGACAGACATTTATTTTCGGCAAGGACCTCGCGTAATTTCTGTATAGCTGGACTAACCTAAATGTACGGAAGCGCTACCAATGGCATCAACGCTATTGAAACGCGTCGGCATCTCATCGCCCACATATATATATATATATATATATATATGCAAGATTGAAATCCAGGTTCTCCGTTTCTTCAGGTGCACCCTAAACTTCCAACATGAATGATTTGTCTCTTATAGACAGGTTTCAATCAAATTCGTTGTAATTACTTATCGCGGTGCTTACTTTTACAAGGCGTTGGAGTCTGCGGAAATAAGATCAGAAATGAAAAAATTAGATGAAGAAAAAATGAAATTAAGTGGAATTTTAGTTCACAAAAGAAATCAAGTGAAAGGAGAGGAAGAAAAAATTTCAAAGAAATTACAAGAACAAGGTACGTAATGAACATAATATTATTTCTGAAAGATTAATAATAAAGTAAAAAGTACACATTTGTATTCAAATGTATTATATTCAAAAGCAGTATATATATGTGGTAGCGTGAAAAGAAATTCAGTACATTACTGCCAGGGAGTCGTTGGCATGTTCACGGCGCTAATATTTAGAATTTTATTGTGTTAGGTGGCAATAACGTACTTCAGCTATGCGGAAGTAATCGATTGTGATAGGGTTTTCCGTCCTGGATAACAATCTTTTTGTCTTCGCTGACAACCAAACCTTGTTTTAAGGCCCTTTTCATTACCATATCATCTTGAAATAAATAAATTGCGAAGACAATGTCGTATCGCAACGAATAAAAGGCGATCTCATTTTGATTTTTTTTAAATATTGATTCTCGCTCGTTTTGTACTGATACAGATGTGGCAAGAAATAAATTTGCGGCGCAAAAGCTGCGCCTTCGTCGCCAGATTGAGAAATCTAAAAACGTACGACAGCAATTGAGAGACGAAGCTGATTCCATCAGAATGCAGATCAGAGAAATTGCGGACCATTTTCTTCAAAAATGTTAAACCACTAACTCCATTATCTAAGTTTTGGATACACAAATAAAAACTGTTAAGTAAGACCCCAAATCACGAAAACGAATCAATGCTAACAGTCAAGCTTGGAAAAGTGGGTGAGTGGTTGGTCCTGAACTTATTGTGATCAGTCAACTGCGGAAAAACAAGGAGATCGATTAGCTGAGGAATCTATTAGTTAATAGTTATTCATTAAATTCATGATTTTCGACCAGATCACATTTGTTTTAATTCCACCTCTCATTCAAACGATTAATATCTGATAGCATAGTTGCTCACCTAAAAGATGGGAGCCAATGTCCGACGATGTTATTTCTTATTATTATGTTTATGCTGTCTTTTGTTGGTACAAAATTAAATTTAAATAAAAACTCCATGTATATATATATTTCCTAAATATTTGGTGTTATAAGGTTCTAAACTAAAATTTGATGATGCGATCTGCTTTGGACAAGTTATATATACGCTTTGTCTTAGGAAAAGGAGAAAACTTTATGCAAATGATTAGATAGACTATAGAGCAGGGATGGCGAACCACTGACTAACATATTAGTGATAAAAACTGATAAAACCGGCGCTAATTAAATTTACCAATAAGTAAACGATTATAATGTACCATCAGTTGGGCAGCCAGGGAAGCGATAGCTCAAATTCAAATTTTATCTTTCGGGTCGATATGATAATTTTCAAAACTCTCAATTTTGGACGCACGTCTGCACCCGTATACCGTTACGCAGCTATTGGCTGTGACATCGTTTTTGACATAATAATACAATTGATCTGTTTATATTTTGCCACGTCTTGTTACAGCGTTCCATTTCGGAAGTGTGAAACCAAAAGGCAGACTGCAGATTGTTTCGGGGGGATATACGAGGACTAGATGCTCCTTTGCATTTTATTGGTATCTCGCCTAAAATGCCGGTGGGAGACAAAATCTTCAGACTTAAAATAAATGCCTGGAAATCTGAAAGACCAATGGGACAGTGTAAAAATGCCTTGATATGGTTGGAAGCTGATCGAAAAATATAAATCTGTCAGAGTGGGATTCCCTCCAAACTCTTCGAAACCGTAAAATAATTTGCTGAATAATCCTAAACGTTTTTTGGTAATACATATGCGTTTTTCAGTACACTAATTTCATAGAAATGAAGTGCCATAAGGAGTTTAGTAGCAGTAGGCCTGATAGGATTGTGGCATAAAAAAGCCCAAAACTAGAAAACACCAACTAAAGCAAGATAAGATGCAGCAGCAAGTTTCGTATATATACAAACATTGATTGAATATCTGTGACCCACACTCTTCCGTTTCGTGGTAAAAATAATAAAATATAATATTTGCCCCATTCATTGAAAAAGGTTCGCAATCCTTAATATAGACCCATGCTTTATAGACTCTATAGTATAGAGTCTATAGAGCATGGGTGTGCAACCTGCGTCTCACGAGGAAAAATTGTGCGGCCCGCGAAGGAGTGCCAATTTTTAATGGTGTGCGGCCCGCGAAACGAGTTTTTAATTTAGTTTAATCTGGTAAGTGCAAAAAATTACAATCCCTTCGGGTTGCAAAGCCCATCTATATCTGAGTCTAATTTAGGAGGGTGGCGCAATAACCGCTGTCGGTTACGGCTTCCTCCACCATCAAGTCCTTGCATCTGAAAACGAATAACTGGCTAACTAATCCCATACCCGACATGGACTGGTAACCGGAGCCGGAGGCCGTAGTTCATCATATGATTGAGCCGCATTATCACTTTCCTCTTTCCTGTGATAAATTTGTGAATCCCATCCTAAATCCGATTCGTGCGAAAATTAGATAGGTGGATAGATAGTGGTTGTTCTAATGCATAGGTTCTCAAAGTGCTCTGTGCGGAGCCCCAGGGCTCCGCGAGAGAAACGCAGGGGTTCCGCGAGCTATTCGATTACTTTTCAAACTACTGACTAATTTTGTAACTGTTCAAAGAAGCAACTAGAATATCGGTTAGAAACCCAAGGCTTATCGATCGAAGGTTAGGGGATCTCCCAAAACAGTGGTCTTACTTACACCGTGTGTCCGATCACTAATTAATTAATAACTCGCTAATTATAAGACATAATCCATCCAAAATCTCTAGGCTTCTGATCCGAGCTATGATGAATGCATATGCAAAATTTGGAACAGATTCAACCTTGCTTCCGTGAGATATCACGTCCATCTAACACACAGACATACACACATACAAATACCTACCAACATACTTACCGATCTTAAGATCGATAAGTAATAACAGCTTTGATAGAATCTGACAACAATATATTCTCGAAATATGGCAAAGAGGCGGAATTAAAAAATGACATTATTTATAAGCAGGAGCGCACCCACCATTCTTAAGAAGGAGGTGGTTCAAAATTGGAATCGAAAATTTCCGCGCAACATTCTTCGATATTAAAAAAACGTATAACGAGATTTCTGTTGCGTAAAATATTCAATCCATGACCGATGCGAGCATTTAACGTGTCTCGTCGTTATAATGTAATTGTGCTCATCGTTACTCACGTTTGATTCGAGATTACTATTAGGATTACTAAAAATGAAAGAATACTGTATTATTCTAAAATCACATAAAATATATATGTGATAAACTGACAACTATAAATAAACTGGAGTCGTATTTTTGCGATCTTGGGATTTGTCAAACTTGATTTGTTCTTTCTCATTTGAGATTATTTTGAAGCAAGATATCGCCGTTAAAAATATCACAATGTCTGGGCAAAATACGAATTGCATTCGGCTCCGTCGGTAGTTTTAGAATGAAAAAAAGGTACATCGCGGATCGCGCGCACAATTGATTGCGGGAGGCTCCGTCGGTAGTTTCAAAATGGAAAAAAGGTACATCGCGCGCACAATTGACTGTGTTTCGATTTCGCAGTTACTACGATGAAAACCTAACATAACACCAAATTTTGTGGTTCACAATGTCTATAAAAGCGTTTTCAATTCTAGGTGAGTCTGCTGAAACCAAACGTGTTATCTTCCACGTGTCGCTTTTCAATCAAGAAATTTGAGTTGCGGATTTACCTCTTTATTAATTATTATTTTTAGCATTTCGTCGCCGATGACTATAATATGGTAACATGTTTTTCACATTGAACTCATAATTCCCCACGAGAGCAAAAAGCAATTAACGTCGTCACTGTGTAACAATACATGTATACGCCGAGGGAAATTTTTGATTTAGGAAGAATAAACACCCGCGTAAAAATGTTTAAAGGTTCAAAAACACGCCATGCTGAGGAAAAAAATTGGCGATTGTAACAAAATACAATCGCGCACATTATTAGCGGCCTTTTAAGTCTTCTAAAAATGCCAAAATGGAAAAGATTCGACCCCTAATTTATTAGTATGTTTGTCAAGTGTCAAATTTACAGCTTTTTTTCTCATTTTGCTATCATATATATATTGTATGTGTTTTCTGGTTTGACCGTAGTAGTATATATTTACGGTTTGACGAAACAATAAAATTCTCTCATTAGTATATATAATTTATGTTTGAAATTTAAATTTATTTATGACTTGTATTAATCCCATTAAAAAGGTTCAGCATTTAAATTGAATAAAGTACTTTTAACTCGCTCGGGAATATTAATCTGAAAGTAACAATTTTAACATTTATTTTGGGGCTCCGTGAATAATAGTCAACGACTAACATAATAGTCAACCTTTTCAAGGGCTCCGCAGCACCAAAAGTTTGAGAATCCCTGTTCAAATGAGTTGGCCGCGCGTGAAGTTTTCGCGCAAATATACTTCCCTTCGATGAATTTAGTGGGCGGGAGGTCGGTCAAAGCAAAGTGACTATGAGTACTGTATAACCAAACTATAACCACTTTGGCTCAAATCCCTGAAGCAGGTTAGGACTGTACCGGAACCGGTCTTTTTAGGAAGTTGGTTATTATTTTGGCCTGAATACGGTACCGGTACCGGTATATGGTTGATTTTTAAAACTGTAGCAAGAATGGGAAGTGGGAGACTAGAGGTCACTGTATTAGGTACGGTACCGGTATGGCCGCACCGGTCAACTGGTGCGGTACCGTACAGGTATGGTCTTAATTCCATCGGTACCGGTACGGTAACGTATGGTTATTGTTTTTAAGTTTTTGTTCATATTTCAAACGATCATATATTACCGGTACGTTCAGTTCAACTAAACAAATTTCTGAATTTAATGTCCCTTAACAAGTTACAAAACTCATGGATTCATACTTAATTAAATATTAACACCTTGGGTGTCGTGGCTCGATAACCAGTTTGGTTCCCCGCGACTTCCCTTCCCCAGTAAAACTGTGTAAATTCTATTTTTGTCGTAATTTATGATTGTTATATTTTTTACTGATTGGAAAAAATAAACTTGACTTGACTATCACATGGTTCTGTGGTTGTTGGGAATTTTTTACTCTTTGGGCCTCACTCAGAAAACTTTGTCAACCCCTGTCCTACAGCTTACTGGCTTACGATACCTCGACAATTATTAGGTTAATTAGATTGTTCATATCTGAAACATGAAATAATGGAATTTACATTTGATATTCAGCAAACTGTATATGCTGATATATGATATTAAATGTTTTCTGTGGTTCGAAAAAGTTTTTACTCAATTAGATGATTACTGGATTAAACTATTTGGTTGTATCAGAATTTCTTATTGACAAATTACTTTTATTCAGAGCTATAACTGTATAATAAAAAAATTTAAAATGAGTTGCTTTGAATCCTGTGTTAAATGTCTTGGTCTGGTACCATGGGCATCTTTGATTGCTCTTGTTATCTGCTGGGCAGGAACAGCATTATTCTGTGGTACGGGACATGAAGCTCTCACCCTATCATTAAAGGTGTTGGTGGATGCAAAAATTCCCGGATTTTCTCAAGGCACATCTAATATTGATGAAGTGTAAGTTGGAACAATGAAAAAACGTGTCTGTCGTATTACAATATTAATTTCCAGTGTATATTATTTACAATTTTTCAAAGATAACACTATTATAGTTGGAAAGTTTATCGATTCAGGTTCAATAAAATTAAAATTCTTTGATATTTGGAAAAAGTGATTCAGAATAATTACTATCAAATTAATGTCATTTTTCTGTGAAGTTTCATATTTTATAGTAAAATCCTGCTGTTTATTACCATTTTTCATTGATATTTGATATATGCCAGTTTTCTGCTGCGTAATGAATCAGTACAAATGATTTGAAGTAAAAATTAGCTATGAAAATTATCGAGAACTAATGAGATATGAACATGCTTCATTATTGTTCAAAAGCTCTCGTCTATTCCCAATTTCAGATTAATTAAAGAGATAAACATTAATATTGAATATTATAATTAAACAATTTTCATTCTTATACAGGTTTCAAGCATTCAAATACGCTATATATGGTATTGCACCTTTCATGTTCATTTTAACAATCCTACTTCTGGTTGATGGAATACTGGCAACTAGAGCAGTCAAAAAGGAAATTGAATTTAGTTGTAAAACAAACAAATGTGGAATTTGTGCCGGAATTTTGGTAGGTAGTACCAGTAGTTAATGAATTTAATAACGACTCCACCAAGGTGGACCATCTACACTGTTGTTCTTTTTAATCTTTTCTACTAAATTGTTAATAAAACTACTATTTTTTGTCCGGAGATGTCCTCTTTTGTGTCAAAGATTATTTTATTCTCATCATTCTGATATTGTACAAAAATTAAGTCTCAAGTTACACGTCTTATGAGTAGTTTGCATTTACAACCAGCAATACCAATGGCATTTCTATGAATTCTATGAATAAAGTGAAAAGATATCCTATGTGCCAACCTCCATAATAATCAGCAAAATTAATTTTTGAGTATGCATAATATTGTAGCTTGTATTGTGGAAATAAATACGTTAATTTGAAAAGTGGATGTCAAAAATGTTTTGCAAAACGCAATTCACAATTTGTCTTATAACAAATTGACCGTCATGGAGAACAAATTTACCATATACCAAATTATTCCTATGTAGATATCCCTTTTAGAGGTGAATAGTTCTAATCTAATGGTGTGATTGCAATCAAACTGTTCAGTATTCAATTTATTGAGTTGTTGGATTTTTCAAAATAACTTAAAAATTCTGAACTATTTGTGATATATGTAATGCATAAGAAATATGCTTTTTTCTTTGTTTATTTTTGTACATTGGCACGTACATTGCATGATAGCATCTCAATTAGACCGCCTAAGGTTTTATAGTATTAAATTTTATTGTTTTCTTTATGTCTATGAGTACTAACGTGTATAGTATATATTAATTTTTCAAATAATTAAAGCCTGGAGGGTTCATAACAACAACCAGACTGGTTTTTGAACCTGATTTATGCGCGCATAAAATCTAAAATAAAATTGTTGTTATAATGTTTACATTAACAGGTGAACATTTTGAAATATACAGTATTTTAATATTTTTCAATATTAATAAACAATATTTTTTCGATTCCATAAATTGATTATGCCCTTCAAAGTGTGCAATCTTTTCATTGTATTTGACTCATGAAAAAAATATTTAAAATCACATTATTTGATGCGTCATGAAACGGTAGAATTTTGGAAAAATTATCATGCAACAATTCCAAATTGTCATTCTTCGTTTAGGCCAGGGTGGTCCAAACCTAATGTGGCCCGCGCAGCTGACAACCTTGTCCACCCTGGTTTAGGCCATCTTCAAGTAATACACAACCATTGATATGACAATTTCAAGGCTAGAAAATGGGCTCATAGAGGCTGGTTGGATTCTTTCATTCATAGCATAAATTTTAAATCTTCCTTGTTTTCAGTATTCTGTGATAACATACCTCACATCTGTGGCTTGGTTGTTAATGTCTGTGTTTGCTGGTTTACCTATCTACTTTTTTCAAGTGTCAAATACACAATGTGGTATTGTTTTGGATCAACCAAGTTCAAACATTACTGGAGTATGTATTGATTTCGTCCAAGCAGGTATAAATTTTTCGTAACTATTTCTATACTTGATATTCAAATTTCAGCGTGTAACAGCATTTCAAAGTTTACTAATAAGATTTTTTTCTCATATGCATATCCTTAGTGCAATTTTAATGCAACAGGGTCCATATTTGGGTGCTGTTGCCGTAGAATAATTCAATTTCAGTAATAATACTGTAAATTAAAATTATATAATATGTCATATAATATTTTAAATGAGGAATGTGCAGATATTATTTATTATTAAACCAATGAAGAAATTTTGGCGTTCTAACCGGGTAATGGGTGGGCCAACAGCAACAACAAACTTTCTCAACCTGCCAACCGAGAACATTGTTACATTACATTGAAATATGTCGGTGCGCAGTAAATCTATGCGTGTGCGCAGCCTCTAAAAGCTCTGTGTGCGCGCACATGCGCACACTTTAGAGGGAACACTGCTTATTAATTTAAGAGATTCACATATTTCTGATTAAAATCACAAAATTTTTATTGCTTTTTTGAATGCGATTTGGTAAGGTTTTGCTTCAAAGGCACATATTACCGTTCATAAAGATATATACCGTAGTATTGTCAATTTGTCATATAGGCCTACTCCAACAATGTTTTGTTTTCAATATTCTGAATTCTAATAATTTGTCTTTTGAAGTCTCATTTGATTATGATTTACCATATATATATTACTGGGTATATATGTTCATAAAAAGAAGTTTTTAACGAATGTTTTGAATTTGGGAAATATGCAGAGGAAGAATCTTCTGCTAAAGGCAAGTTTAAGAGTAGATTACACCACATTATGAGATATTCAAAGAAAGGGTTTAATTCCATTTATACCTGACAGCTGTTTGTAGAGCATTGTACCAGACAAAAGTGTAAGTAATAAAGTTTTGTAATTTACCTAAGACAACATGTATATATTATATTCAGGACTGATGCCTTACCAAAATGCTCCTGAAAACTATGGCAAACTTTGTGGGGAAGACTTGAAAACTGTCTGTGACAGTAATGATGTAAGTGCCACGATTTAAGTTTCTAATATTGAAAATTTGAGCCACTATTCAACTATTATTTCTAAGAAGTGCAGTATAAAGATTTGAGATAAACCAAAATGATGGGAAAATCTGTTTAAAGCCTAATCCAAAAAATGAAAATTGGTACAGTTAACTAAAACTGAGTTTTAATTCAAAACGATAAAAAAAATGTGCTTCGTTCATTCTATATAGCTTATAAAATTTTGTATCCAAATGCATAATAAACCTTCTTTTCAATATTGTAAAATTGTGAGTCAATGTACTCTGAAAATTATACTGATTTCTGTAATATAATAAATCAATTTGTTACAATCAATCTCTACGTAGTTGAAAGAAGAAACTGGAACTATCAGTTTTAGAGGAAGATATAAAAATTTGCCAAACTGATTAACAAAAGGAAAGTACCAAAAATTAAACAAACTAATATATATTTGTTTTCAGTACACATTAACATATCAGATGTTTTTGATTGCATTTGCTGGATCATGCATAGTTGTCTTAAGCTTGGTGAGTCCTTGATAATTATTTATCAAACTTGATTTTCTGATAGGTTTCCCTTCATGCATATTTACTTTGTAAAAGTGAAAATGGTTTGGTGGTTTGTCAAAGTTTATAGTTTCGGGATACTGTTTTACTTTAGCAAATAAAGTAGATAAAACCGTGACTGTAAGTGACAATACAACAGCACATTCTTGAGGGATACAAGTTTTATTGGTGAATAATTTACAAACTTTACAGGGTGGTCAATCAAGCATTGTCAGTCATACAGAGGTATTTTTACAAAGAATGGTCTTGATGTAATTGTAAATATTTATAGTTTTTTTTTTATTACAATTTTGGAGGAGGCACTTCATGGTACTTGCTTGATCAACAACTTATTCAAAAATACTCCATTCCAGTCCATTTGAAAATCAATTGAGCAATTACGATTTGACAAATTGCAAAAAAAACTATTTTTCGAACTATGCTCAACTGTCATTGATTTATGCTTATTATATCTGTATGCCCTGGGGGCATCTTTTGCTTTTCAGTCCCATCATGAAATCTAGCGACTGTCAGTGCACTAAGATATATGTGCATATGCATTACTAATGTGCATAAAGGCAGTTTTTTATAAATTTAGCATAGCTAGAGCAACACAATAAATTTCGGGAACATGAATTTTTGCTGCCAGTTTCAAACTGAAAATGGATTTTATTGCTTTACTAGACATTTGGATTTTTTTTACCAGATTTTGGCTAAAGTTTCAAAATCTTCAAATTTCATAATATTTTTCCATAAATTTTACGATTTAGGAATCTATAGGCTTTAATAAGATATCAGATCACTTCGTATCAACTTGAAACAAGCATAAAAATTGCCTGATTTTCGTTTTTGGCAATTATTTGCCAAAACACAGCGAAGAAACGCTGACAAATTTTTTCGCAAATGCTCCATCATGGGCCCAATTTGTCGAATCCACTATTGCGTCAAAATTGTCTAAATAATTTACCATTTGAGTTTGACTTCATTTGCTTATTCTAGAGATTTGGATGCCACTGCCACACCATGTTATTAGAGTACAGTCCATGGGTTTTCTATGATATAATGATGGTATATTGCAGATGCATACTAAACTATGAAAATTTTCAGAAACATTTCCTGATGGCTCTCTCTGCAAATTTTGCCTATATCAAGATGTCTCGAAAATTAGCAGATTATCAAAATACCAAATACCAGGAAGAAATGGAATTGAACGACATCATTAATACTGCCCGTTCGAATGAAAGGCTGACTTACAAATATTAATCTCAGCATTCAAGAATAAATGGTGTAGACAAGCATTTGATTTTCGTCAACATACTTTTTCTGTAAAAACTTTTACACTTTTTTTCGTTTCAAGAAATATGACATTGTTCTATATTGCTGCTGCCTTTATGTGAATGAATAAAGTTGCAATTGAACATCATTACTATTCAGAGGAACAAAAATTTAATGCCAAATTGTGATTTCCATGAATGTTTTATTGCATCATAACCAATGCTCAATTAAATTGTGAAGTCTTGCCTTATATCCGAATACTATGGTGCTTATTAAAATAGACTTTTTTAAATTGATCGTTAGGTCATTTTTTTGTGTGTGAATTTGCTATAAATCCTCTGCATTGCAAGATGCTCTATTTTCTTTTATACTGGTACATTTATGATTTCTAAATTTTTTATTACAAATTTGTAAAATTCAAACTAGAATTACTTAATTCAAATTGTTTGTGTCATTTTGCTTCACACATATTTTTGCTGCTTATTAAAATGCATAATCATGACCTTTTTAATTAAATTATCAACTACAATGAATTTCTTACAATTAATTTAGTCCTATTAGTTCGAAGATAATAATAATAGCATATATGATCAAATGTGTTTATTGAACCAAATGTCAATTTATAGGCCTTATTCACTTAAAACATTATTACCATTCGATACGACTTGATAAATTGATGATACTTTTACCTTAAAAACATTTTGAGAACGTCTGTTCTAGAAACAGTCCTAGGTTCCTAAACCTTGAATATCATGAAGATTGTTTAGAATGTAGTTTAATGATATGATAATCCCCTTGAGATGGATGGCCAAATCATTTTGTTGATTGCATACTTTTGCTTGATTCACTCTTTTTATAAGCCAGACCAACTATTTCAGTACAGTTTGACTCTTGCCAACCCTTATGTATATCTGGTTTGGGAATATATGGTGAATCTTTTTCATTTATATGTATAAATTCATTGATTTCTCTACTAAACGTACTATTTTTTATTATATGAATACTATAGAAATGATGAAGTAAATAAAAATGTGAAATCCAAAGCTTCTGTGCGTTATGCACAGATTATCTATCACAGAAATATAGAAACTTTTTTTCCTTCAATCCATTTCTTTGTATTCAGAACATTGGCACAATTAATATGTGCCAAGGTGCAGTTTTTTCTCAGGGTAAAATACTTTAAAAGTAAATTTTTCGTAAATAATATTGTTATATCAACCAATATACTAGTAGATATATAGTGAATAGAATGTATAGATATAGTATATTTATTGCTGCCGCCTGTTAACAGTTAATTGAGATCAAATTTCTATTTTTTCTGACGAATTTAGATCCAAAGTCTAAATGAATATTTGCAATAAATCATGATATAACCATTTATGAGACTTCCCAGCAAGTGGCCTTTATTTGGATGTGTCGGTACCTTTTTACTCAAAAGCTTCACTATTATAATTTGATAATTTCTGCAATTTTACATAATCACAAATCCAGTTTTATCATTGTGGGATGATATGTTTCATTGCAATGCAGTCGGTGTATATCTCACTAAGTGAAACCAATTGGTAAAGTCGGCCAGTTGAAGGTCTTGACTCTTGTGCATCTTTGTACCAAAACTTCAACAGTTTGGGCGATATCTAATTTTTGTTAATATTTATAATGATATTTTACTTTACTTGGTTAAAGAATTGATACTTTCTGTATTTGCATTACCTCTCAGTGCCTATATTGTTACACTAGTAGAACATCCCAAACAGTAGTTATATGTTTGTTTATTCCAAAGAGTATAAAATTGATAGTGCATACTTATTTCGCGCCCGTTTCATCATTCATGGTTTAAACCCCAACACTTCAAACCAAGTATGGAATGATACAATGAATTCCTGCCAGTGATAAGTTTCAAGTAATTCCGGCGATAAAAAATGACTTCTCTTTTAGTGATACTCTTTGTTTTGATATACAACGTCAAGATTTTGGTCATTTTACATCATAGTCTCTGGTGAGCTCTGCCAGACACTTTTGAGGAGTAAATATTCTCACTTTTCGAATTTCATCCTTTCTCCCATCATGTTATTCGCACAATTTTTTTTCTTTCCTCATGGTTTACTTTTAGCAGTGATCACTGGGTGCTTTTTATTAAATTGAAATGTTTACCTTACATTCATTATTACACCGACTGGTACTTGTTTAATGATCAATTCTATATTTAGTTTTTAAATTCTCATTATAAAGAGTATAGTATATAGATCTATAGAAATCGAATCTAGAAATATTGTGATATCATCTTTTTATATTCTGCATGTTTACATGCAACATATCTGGCATTTTACAATCTGGTACTATTAGTTGTTTATATATATATATATATATTATATATCATTAGTATTCGGTGCTCAATTTAACATTGTGCCATATATTTTTTTGTTCGATTTTTTTTTATTAGGAGTATAGTGATATAGAGTTGCCAGGCAACAACAACAACTTTGCATCCTTCATTATTCAGCAAAATAAAATTTGGCATGAGTCAATTTTGTTGTGGCGACAAATGTTAATATCAAAGATAACAATTTTGTGGAAGTTGTAAATTTTACTACACTTTTTCTGGAAATAAATGTCTCGATGGAGATTTAGTTGCTAACTCTGTTTATTACTGTCAAAAAAACATTGTGCACTTATATGAAGATGGCTTGCCTTGTTTTTTTTCATATTACATGTATGACAAAGTTCTGGTATAACGTAAAAGGGATCTGATTACAAATGGTATTATGATGAACAAATAAATTCAACTGGTCTGCCATCAACACTTGTCTAATCAGCTATCTTTGTGAGATCGAAAATCATATTTTGTAACTTGCATGGATGTACTCTTTGGATAGTTTTTCTGCATTATATAAAAAACATTCGTCGTTTCCTTCTCAAACTTATCGTTTTAAGAATTCAATTCAATTTCTGTACTTTGTGCCTATATATTGCCTTTATCTTGTCATTTAATGAGCTGCTCATTTATTCAGCTGCGCATTGTCTTACTGTTCAGAAGGGGAGTTTTCTCCAGTAAAGTGGACTAATATTTGCTACAAAATGTGTTTTAAAGTACCTTTTAATAGATGTCGATATAGGTAATATGGCTTCTGGAGAAATAAATTCGAAACTCATACTCGTGTTGTAATATACTTTGCGTTTCTATTGAATGTTGGCGTCTCGTATTTTTTTGATGGCATCAACGAAACGGGGAAAAAAGTATGTATATGTGTGCAAATGAGTAGCAATGAGTGGTGGGATTCAGCCGGTTCTTTTGAACCGTCTCACGGAATTTTATGAGATCAGCGAACCGGTTAGCATTACTGGTTACTGTCAATGGTATGTTTGTAACAGAACCGGCTAAAAAATATGACTTTTGTGAAGGAACCGGTGTACAAAAAATTTGAATCAGACCACTGCATGTAGGCCTATCGTTGGCGCTTAAAAATGACAAACTTTTTGAAAATTATTGTAATTGACTCAACAATTTCATCACAAGTCGCGGCTTACCACGAAGGAACAAGGGGATCGAATGTTAAACGAAGTTGTAGCCGCTCCATTTACGAAATTTGGTGTTCAGCGACCAGGCGTATTTTATATCTGACGCGCCAAGTTAGCTCTGTTGGAACAGTTGCGCATTTAGCGTATAGAAGTCTGTTTCTTGGAGTTGGGTAAAACTTCTGACTTGATTTCGATATATTTATGCAACTACATAAGCTACCAAATAAATACCCGAAGGGCATTTGCCTCATTGGCATTATTTTAGGTGAGTGAACACGTACCACATCTTCTTGGCAAAACCTTCCATCTTATATACATTTTGTACGTTTTAAACCTTATCTAAGGTTTTATTCGCTCTCCTGATTTCATAATCAGGTTTTATTTATATATTTTTACCATTCATTTTATTGTTTTGCTGATTATGGAGTCGAAATAAACTTATACTTATAGCTACTTCGATTTTCATGATATGATCATAGCCATTATATAATGACTCAATCAATCAATTTTATTCGGTCACTCGGATACAAACAAAACTCTGATATGATTATAGAGGGTTAACATTCTCTGTGATATGATAACGTATCCATATTTGTGAGAGTTGCAAATGCCACGAGCTAAATTAACAGCAACTGTGTGCACAGATATGAATTCTTTATAAAAAATTAGATATTTCAGATAAAATTACCTCATTCTGAAATTTGTTACTTTATTCGGTGACTCTCGACACCACCCGAACACGTCAATTTGTTGACTCTTGGCTCTGTTTTGTGCTTGGATCGCTAAAGTTATATTGATATTTTTTCTCTTGCCATTTATAAAGAATGTCGGACTTTCAGGAAATAAGCTACGATAATCCTGTAGACGGAGATATTTCAGTTCCAATACAGCAACCAGAAGACGATTTAGATGAATTGTCAACATTGGACGAGCCTGTTAGAGTCACATTTGTGAGTAACTCACTATACTGCTGTAACTGTTAACACTTTATTTTTAAATGATGGGCTACTACATAGTTAAGTATTAATATATATTTCTGCGATCTATGATTGCTCTAGTGCTAAGCTATGTTTGTATGTGCAGATGTTTTAGGGAGGTGTAGCCAGTCTGCGGACGATTTCATTCAAACCGCTATAAAACAAAAACCAATATTTCTAACTCATTAATTTTTTCATAGTATGTGCATTGGCATTTATTCTACACGCTAAACCTCGAATTAACTTTCTACGATCAGGGGTTAAAGCTATACAAACCACCAAAGTATGACACTCGGGAGACGTATTTGCGACCGAATGACCAGTGTGCGACCACGGATTTCAAGCCTTGAACATCGTTTCTGCTGCGTCAAGACTAGAGCATAGAGGCGCAGTTCTTACCACTTCATGGCAGCTCCTGCCACGAACGAACCGCGGCAGCTCTTGCCATAGTTTTATAGCGCTATTCAGTAATCAGTATTAACTGTATATTCACAAATTAATGTACCAGATTTTAATTGATCATGTGGAATTATATCTACTTAAACTCTAACCCTAACCCCAAATCAATCAAAACTGTATCCATAAGAAAAACGTTCCAACTTACCCAATATTTGTCACCATAATAGACAGCCCTGTCTTTACGGCCCACCTGCCGTGGTTACGGCAGCAAAATTTTACCTGCCATTGGTTTTCAATTTGCTGCCGCGGTAACGGCAGCTCGACATTGGTTTGTGACAGCTAAAAAGTCAGTTGCCATGAGTTTGGCCGTAGCGGCCATGGTATGGAAATACCGCCATGGTTTTGCGGCAGCTGCAGATGCCACAGAATACTTAAAACTGCACTTGAGAGCATAGGCAGCAATGCGTGAAAAAATGGGGCTTCTAATCGCATTTCTGACAGTCATATATTTTAAGAACACGGTCATTTCGAACAAAACTCGTCAAGTTATATACAAAGCACCGCATCACAGCAATCAAACAGACAAAAACACGGTGGTCGCAAATTGGTCGACAAAGATATTATCGGCGTATTGGAAATGCGCACCCCCCTATTTTCCCTCCTTTAAATGTAGAAATGCGAAAATTTAAAGATGGTTAAAAGAAACACAACTCTACCCCCTTGCCAAGTTTCATCTTTTTATCTCTTATATTTGTATGGATTTTCAAATTTTTTAATAGGACAATGGTAATGGCGACATGAAAAAATGATTCATTTTTTTTTTTGGTTGGGTTTTCAGTCGCAACTTTTTTGCCGCATTTTAGTGTAATTTCGCAGAGCTATATGGGACAAGTGGACAATAACGTTTGAGAAATGCCGTCGCGTTTCGTTAATTTTTTCGGCATTAATTAGATCGATGAAGTTGATGGCCGCAATTAGGTCGTGGCCGCAAAGTGGGTAAGCCACCCTAGATCCGTAAATGTCCCAACATCTTCATTATAATCTATATAACTTTTGTTCTAATACAGTTAGCTAACACTTACAAGATCAATTTTTTCATGACAGATGCTGATTCTAAAATTATTGTTTTCTAGATGAGAGATTTCAAAGCTATCGGTAGCAAATTTGTCCATGTTGTTTATCCAAAGAAAGACAAAACCTTACTCAGGGATTGTGAGTATTTTTGAAATGTGTTATTAATAGTTGCTATATCTATATTCATTCAACTTATACGTACGTATGATAAAGTCAGGGAGATCGTAATTTGAAAGTTTGCAATTTTCAAGATATTTATGGATTTATTATTTTTCCTTTTTCAAGTTAACTTGGAAGCCTTATTTCCACCTTTATCAGTTTATGGAACCCTGACCCTAACATTGGTTATTGCTGAATGTCTTCTCTTTCATCCATTCAAATTTTTATATGTTAGAGCCTGGAACAAGAACCTATCATTAACTAACTACTGAACCTAAAGTCATTGTGTTGGGTTTTCTGTTCATACTGCTATTTACATTTATAGGTTGAACTTGTCACACAGCCGTGTCCTGGTTAGGTCATCATTGTCTTGTTCACGTATCTTGTCACCATTACTATGTTCATTGTTTTTTATGCTGTTTTATATTGAGACTATTAAACATGCATACATGTACTTGATGAAGTAATTTAACTCTACATAACAAATTCAAAATTTGTTTAATATTAAATTGAATTTATTCTAATTTTGTTTTTTTCCAGGGGATTTATGGGGTCCATTAATACTCTGTTGTCTCATGGCAATATTTTTGCAAGGTAAGTACTGAAATTGATGGTACATAAGACAAGAGAGCGATGCTCAAATATATATAGACACAATGTCATGAAAACATGGAAGACAGCCATCACAATGTCATAAAAACGTCCCATAATTAATACAGAAATGATAAAATAATACAAAATTACAGTGCGCATTTTTATGGAATATCAGATCTCACATAAAATTTAGAAACAAATACAAGTAATAGCTTTCCAGCAAAAAATACAATCTTCAACCACTTAAAATTTCAAAGCAATTCGTCCAATAGTGAATGAGAAGAACGATTTTTTTCGTAGGGTTACAAGAAGAAGAATAACAAACATACTAAAGACTCTGAAACATGTTATGTTTATTCTAATTCGAGACAAGCATTTTATACGATGCTTCTTCACGTCTTTCACTCCAAACACAGCCCTGTACAAGCAATCACTGACATGTAATGAGTTATTATATGGGAGAAGCTACTATTTTTTGAAGGACAGGAATGTCTGGTGTTTCTTACCCAATTTATTGCACCTTATGTGAGGTAGTGGGCATGGCGTTTGAAATCGATATTGTTATTCTGGCACTAGCCCTGCGCCCAATAATAATTTACTGATATTTTGCAGTTATTTAATTATGCATCTAATGCATATTATCACTTAAGTTGTTAGAAGAAGCCTACAGAAACTCTCCTTGGCAAAAAAATTCTTTGAAAATATTTAAAAACTTAAATGCTCGTGTCTGAGTATGTTGTCAAATATACTTAAATTGATTCTCATTGTCATAGGTCAAGCTACAGATGAAAAGACTGGTGAAGGCGGCCCACAATTTGCTGAAGTATTTGTTGTTATTTGGGTCGGTGCTGCTGTTGTCACACTAAATTCACAACTTCTTGGTGGTGAAATGTGAGTACAAAATCTGTATTTATTCGAAGAATATAAAATCCATTTGTTGGGTTTGCATATGTGGGTAATAACTCATACATGAGAAAAATGAATTGAATAGTCGAATAAAATTTATTAACAAACTACCCAACTTCAGAAGTATTTGTTGCCAGTTTTTTAAACCAATTCGGTGTATTTTTGCATTTGTTGGATATATCAGATTTTACAGGTCATTTTTCCGAAACCTCTATGATTTTATCTTATCTTATTTGCTGAAACAATAGCTAGCAAATTTTTAGTGATTGGTGGTAACCTCTTGAAGCATGTGTATATTTTCTCTGAAGACTGTTGTTTAAACCCAAATTTTGCTAATAAAATATTGCGTCACCATGTACCATCAACTAGTGCCATGTCCATACATTTCGGTGTTGCCAACTTGTTTATTATTGAAAATTGAGTTTATTATGAAACTGTTATATTTACTATTTTTCAGATCATTTTTTCAAAGCGTGTGTGTTCTTGGGTATTGTATGTTTCCTCTCGTCGCTTCACTTATTTTTTCCTGGCTTATTGTACATTTTATATCTCAAAATATTGGATTATTTATTGTTCGTTTTATAGCTGTTTTTCTTGCGTATGGATGGTCAATATTTGGTAAGTATTGATCAATCTTATTCATGATTAAATAATGTCTTTGAATAATTGGAAATTCCTGACTTTTATATGAAAAGGCTTTTGGAAGGACTATCACTGAGAAATTCAAATAATGACCACTAAAGTGTTTGAATATCTGTAGGGTATTTGTCCATTAGCACAAAATTTTTCCCAAACTCTCGACATTTTTTTTTAATTTTTGTGGCGGCCCCGCGTTCGTTGCTACCAGGTGGTCAGGCAAAGTTATAAAGACTCTGTAGTGTACTATGACAGATTGAGTATGTTTTGATCTTCGTATTCATATATTTGAGCAGTGCTCTCTTGTTATTAAATGTATCTAATATAGTTTACTGACCTGAATATATGTTTTTCTGTTTACAGCCTCTGTAGCATTTCTTGGCGATAGTCAACCTCCGACTCGCAAAGCACTTGCTGTTTATCCTATCTGTCTATTTTATCTTTCATTGGCTTGGATGATTGTGACTCTAACATAATGATAAGAAAAAGTGCTGTTATCAAGGTCATGTCATCTCAATAGTATGGTACAAGAGAATCGTCAGTTGTTCGAAGTGTTCATATATTCAGCACTACATAAGACCAGATAGACTGGAAAGTAGATTTGTCCTATGAGTTATGATATCTATTATACCTGACTGGAATAAGCATGGTCATTTGGCTCTCCAGAACCCAGGACACCCTGAAAACTCATGGCTAGGACATATCTGGAAGTTAAATGGTAACTTCAAATCCGGGTTGGAAATATATTTCTTCATACCTCCTTTGTTTGAAGGTAAAGATGGAAATGTGCATCCCAAATCATCTCTTTGGAGTTTATATCTTGCTGTGCATTCAGCTTCAGGTTACGTTTTATGTTATTGTCTTGCGCAATACATTTTTACAACCTGCTGCATTCTTGCAAGTGACGAGGTGTGAGATACTGTGCTCTTCGATCGCTTTTAGACTAATCAAATGTTTTTCTTATATTAATCGCATTCAATATTGGTAGACGCAGTGCATTTTTGAATATATATATGTTAATATAACGTGTCGCTTTGAGAGGATGGAGTGGGTATTTGCAGAATGGCGGCTGGTCACCAGGGGCGTGCCAAACTTCACTGCGGCCCGGGGAAAGTTCCTGATAATGATGCCCCTTACCCAGTAGTGGGATTCAGCCGGTTCTATAGAACCGTCTCACGGAATTTTATGAGATCAGCAAACGGGTTAGCGTTATTAGAAAAAACATGTAACAGAACCAGCCGAAAAATATGACTTTTATGATGGAACGGCTGACAAAAAAATTGAATCCCACCACTACCCGTACCTAATGTCAAAAATAATTCGGGGGATAAACAGATTATAGACGTCGTTACACATGAGAATAAATAAGTCAAAGGTCAATTAAGATAGAAACGTTTGTTCGTCAAACTGAGCAACAAATTCACATGTATAAGATCGAACTCCAAGTCACTTATTTTTCTACGTCCAATCGCTTCTTTGCTGTCGACAAATGTCAGAACGAGAGCCTCTTTCGAATTTCACTTCGATGCTAATCAAAGATAAACTTGACCTCGAATATGTTTTTATCGGAATAAACTTTGAGAAAGATCGCCCGCAACTAGCAATTGAGTAATGCGGCTATAGCCAATTGTGAGTAATACACAATATGCAGTTGGAAAAACATCCCAGCCAACTAATGAAGTAAGGAAATCATTTTTTTTGGAAAATCTCTGTCATTCACACAAGACTAACCACATCATAACGTCAGCTTCTAATTAAAAAAAAAAACACATCGAAAAAAAACATGTGTAATAACGCAAACTCTATAGCTTGGCTCTGCTGCCCCCGACAACGTGCCGCACGGGTCGGTTGCCCATTTGGCCCCCTTCTCGGCACGCCACTGCTCGTCGCATAGCCGGTGTTTCCATAAACTCTCTGCCGTGCGAGACTGCAAAAGATCGTCATTTGAGCCATTATGTACCTGTGCAACAGGTTTGCACAGACTAAGCATATATAGGGGCACTAGCGTGCCATGCCCTAAAGTAATTTGATATATACACAAATTTTTGTAAGACAAAACACCAGAAAAAGGGAAACCGAGTGACCACGCAGCTACACACATTTCAATTATTAGGTCACAGCAATGAGCATATATACAATGAGTGGAAACTTGCAAAGATTTGCTCATTTTGGTATTGTTCCCTGCATTTTTACGTCGTCCAGCTAAATGGTTCGTTGCATATTAAGAAAACGCATTGCTCGCTGCCAAAATCCCTTGCTTCAGCCGAGTCGGGTGCGAAATTGGCCGTATTGAGGTCTGTAATTCTTCAATACATATTTGGTTTTGGGTTTCGAAGTATGGTACGCTGAAAGCATACAACTATGAGCATGTGCTTGTTGTGAATGCATATATATTAGGCAGAAAACGTATCTACAGAACAGAATATGAACCAGTCGCCGAGAGGGGTGCGGTTATTTATGTATTTATTCATTGATATAACATGGGATTTACATATTTATCCATGGGAGAGGAAAAACGAGTAGAATGCTTAAATACATGGCGAACCACGGCCTCTCACAATCATAGCTCTGTCCTCCATATGAATCACATGGCTCTGCGAGCTATTCGTTTACCTATTAAAAATACTGAGTTTAACTATAAATTACTCTGGGATGGAAGAAAATCAGGGAATGAAATGTGTGTATTATGTAATGGAGAACCTGAGTTTGTTTCACATATTTTCATGTATTGTAAACAGGGATGGCCAATACCGAATAGTTCACTATTTCGAATACATTCGAAATTATTATTTTCGAATATGAAATTTCGAATACTTCGAAATTAAAGTCCAGTAATAGAATCTAAGTGTATGAAGGAATCTTCATACAATAAACGATGGGAAAACTTCTATTTACAACCTGGCTATATTACCAGGCATTTCATGTTTGCAGATTATTGCGATATATATTTTATATAACATGAGTTGTGTTAATTAACAGAATTAAAATAATACGACAAGGCATTTCAAATAGTGGTATCGGTGATGGATTTGAATGCTTGCGCAACACAAAATCATCCTAGTAAAACGCCCATACTTTTAAATACCAACCATTATCCAAATTATTTGTCAAAAAGCGGGATAAAGTATGAGTTCTTTTTCTGACTTGTGACAATTTTTTCGTGAGTACAAAAATACGAATCAAAAAGTAATTATATTCGGGAACTTTACCACACATTTTAGTCCGCAGATCGCCGTTGTATGTTTGTGTAATAATACTTTTATTATTTTATAAATACGAAAACTATTTATAATCGGGTAGTTTACCACACATTCAATGTCCACAGATCACCGTTGTATTTTGTAAATACGAAAATAAGAATCAAAAATTAATATCAATCGCGAGTTTGCCTCACAATTTATGTCCACAGAATGCCGTGATATTGTGCCCGAATATAATTCATTTTTGATTCTTATTTTCGTACTCACGAAAAAATTGTCACAAGTCGGAAAAATAATTTATACTTTATTACACATTCAAGTCCACAAATCGCCGTTGTATTTTTGAGTTATAATAGTTTTAATATTTTGTAAATACCAATCCGAAATTAATTATAATTGGGCAGTCTACCACACATTTCATGCCCACAAATACCCGTGGTATTTGGTATTAATACTTTCATTATCGATACTTTTGACCATCATTATCAAAATTATTTGCAAGAAAGCGGGTGAAAGTATTTTTCTAATAAATCAACTTGTTTCCCAACTTGTGACAATTTATTGGATATCGTAACAATTACAGCTATAAATACCGTATTTCCCGGCTAATAAGTCTACATGGCAAATAGGACGATGTATATTTTTAGCACTCAAAAAAAGGGGGGTTTCCATATAGGCCTCCAAGAAGACGGGTAGAAAAAGTGTTCCCTGTTGTTCAGTTATGCTAATATGCGCTAATAATAATGTTTAGAACCAGATCACGTTTGTTTAGTAGAATCATACTCACAGAATTAACTATTTTTAACAATAAAGCGGTAATTTTAAGTTAAAAATCACAATCATTTTGAACAATCTATAATTTTATAGGGTCAGAAAAGAACCAGATCATGTTTGTTTGGTAGAACCATACTCACGGAATTAACTATTCTCAACAACGAAGCGGTAAATTTAAATTATAAAGCGGCAATCATTTAGGACAACCTATCAACCCGAATGTTGAAATAATTTTGGAATGTGATAAGTTCCACACGGACCGTCCACGGGTTATTTCACAGCTGTGTTTCATGTCCCTGTCATTTTCTGCTGAATCGGCAAAACCAAAGGGTCATAAATCACTTACTTTATCTCGGTGGCGGTGGCCGTGTTTTCCCTTTTAAGTAACGATAACCGGCCCACGATTAAATATCATGATTGGCAGACCCATAAGAACCAAATATAAGGTTAACACAAATTATGCTTGAGAAGACTAATGCGAAAAATAAGCAGGCCACATAGAAATAAAATAAACATGCTTTCTCAATAAGGCGCCCCACCCCCCAAAAAATCAAGCCAAAATTGGGTCTAGAAAAGCAAAAGCGACTTATTAGCCGGGAAATACATTGATTGTCGATTTTTCGACTAATGGAAATGATTTTGTGAATTAAAAGACGAATGTCGGCAATGTCCACCAACGCAAACGTGCAAATGTGTCGCAACACTATGCGACGTACATTCGCGCTGAATATGAACAATCAAAATGCCGACTCTATTTCATCGTCATTACAATACGCGAGAAAGCGTAAAAAGTCGTTTGAAGATTCCGGTAAAACGAAACACGGTGTTTACGGCGAAAAGTGACTACTATTCGTAATTATTCGGAAATGAGCCGAAAAGGTATTCGAATACTTTGATATTCGAATAATTTCGAATATTCGATTCGTTTTGGACAACCCTGATTGTAAAGCACAAAAAATATTTATGAAGATTTTGTTTTAGATATATTAAAATTGATTAGAATACATTTTGTTATCAATATGATTCTTGCATATCATTTGCTTTTAACGATCCTTCATGTAGTCATATAGATACTGTTGGTTTGGATGCAATTATACTTTTGTTATCGATAGTGAGAAATATTTCAGGACTGCTATTAACTATGTGAGCTATTTTTTCTGCAATGCAAAATACATCCTGCGTCTGCTATTTACTATGTGAATTAATTTTTCTGTAATGTAAAGTATTTCCATAACTGCTTTTACTATGTGGGCTGTTTTTTCGGTACTCTTGTAGTATGTGTACCAGGTTAGGTTACGATTCTCCTTATTTTCGTTCTATTAAAAGTTCGGAAATTGTCTGTGTTACACAAGTGAATATCCATCCCCCTACCGATAGAATTTAGTCCATTTACACAACTTGATATAAAATAGGCGAACAAAATTAGTTACCTTCATATTGGTACACATACTTCTGGAGCACCATTTTTTTTGTAATGTAAAATATTTAATATGTGAACTAATTTTTTTGGAATGCAAAATATTTTCTACAGCTTCTGTATTTTTTATATGTCACTTTTCATTTCATCGATAATACACATGGTCTGGCACATTGTTCATTCTTTGTGAAGTTTTTGGTAAATTTACAGATGGAATAAGACCGACATTCAGCTTTTTTCTGTTTTACAACTGTAATACAAATTGAAGTATGTAGTAAACCCAGTTGGTAGACACCGGAACCATGTGTACCAGGTTAGGGTCTACTACATACAAACATTCCCAAACTTTTCAAGCTGCACCCCCTTTTTAGAATTTGTGAAGTCTTGCGCCCCACCTCAAAATAGTTAGCTAACAATAATAAGCTACAAATAACAGTAGTAACAGTAAGGCATAAGTACGTTTTATTGGAAAAACAGTTGAAAATACATGGATGGAACGAAATAAATGACAAGTTTTGATATGCAAATATTTACAGTATTTTAAACTAATAGAGAGAGAGAGTTTATTTCGTTCGTCAAACCATGAACATATATAAATTATAATAAAAAAAAACAGATGCTCAGGTGTTTGACT